CCAAAAGAAGGACTTGGGGGACTGCAGCAAAAGGGGGTGATGGACCCTCGCTCCTCGGCTTTGACATAGCCTGAGTTCTCAGAGTCTGAGAAAAAAACCTCCTTGTCTCCCAGTTGCCTTAGTTCCCTTGCTCCACCTAAGCCTGAAACAATGACAGGGTGGTGCAGCTTGGTACTGAGAAGTGCGGATTCCCCCGGGGTGATCAGGCCTAAGAAAGAACATGTAAATTACTGTGAAACCTTCTTTGTTTAGAATGTTCTCAGTTGAATGAGAAGGGTCTTAGGAGGAAGTTATTTTGTTCCTCAGTCTTACAGCTCTTTGACCCCCAACTCAATAGACCGGCAGAGTTCTTTGTTTTCTATGGTTCCTTACTTCCCTCTAATGAGTACTGTACTTTACCTGAATTATTATGCAGAATGAGCCCAATAAAAGCAGGTATGGACGGTAAACCAGCGCGCTCCCCACTAGGGGGGGTGGCCATTTCGTCCCTACTTCCTCACAGAAACTAGTCTGTCTCTGTGCATGTGTCGTTTTTTCTTGCGTGTTTATCTTCGAGCCATCCACAGCATTCCATGGTCACTGCTGGCCGGTGACCCATGCGCAACATATATGGTGTTCATATATTGAAACTATTAACATCATCAAAATGTCCATAGTACCCAAAGCAATTTATGCATTCAACACAATCCCTATTAAAATACCAATGGCATATTTTACAGATATAGAACAAACATTTCAAAAATTTATATGAACCACCAATGACCCTGAATAGCTGCAGCAGTTTTGAGAAAGATGAACAAAGTAGGAGGGATCACCATACCTGACATCAAACTATATTACAAGACCTCTCTCATCACAACAGTCTGGTACTGGCATAAGAACAGACACATAGATCAATAGAACAGAATAGAGAGTCCAGAAATAAGCCCATGTCTCTATAGTCAATTAATATTCAACAAAGGGAGCAGAAGCATAAAATGGAATCAAAATAGTCTCTTCAACAAATGGTGTTGGGAAATCTGGACAGCTACATGCAAAAAAAAAAATGAAACTCAACCAACAACTTTCACCATACACAAAAATAAACTCAAGATGGATAAAAGACTTAAAAATGAGTTGCGACACCATAATGTCCTAGAGGAGAACATAGGCAGGAAAATCTCAGATATTCCACACAGCAATATTTTCACCAATATGTCCCCTAGCACAAGGCACAATAAATAAAAGAATAAACAAATGGGACTTCATCAAAATAAAAAGCTCTGCATAGCTAAAGAAAACATGAGCAAAATGAAAAGGGAACAACTGTATGGAAAAATATATTTCCAGATGACATCTCAGACAAGAGTTTGATCTCCAAAATATATAAAGAACTCACAGGACTCCATATCAGGAAGATAAATAATTCAATTAAAAATGAGCAAAGGACCTGAACAAACACTTCTCCAAAGAGGACATACAGAGGGTCCAGAGAAATATGAAAGCATGCTGAATATCACTAGTCATCAGAGAGATGCAAATTAAAACCACAATGAGACAGCACTTCAAACCAGTCACAATGGCCACCATAACCAAATCAAAAAACAAGTGCTGGCTAGGTTGTGGAGAAAAGGGAACCCATTTCATTGTTGGTAGGAATGCAGACTGGTGCAGCCACTGAAGAAAACTGTGTGAAATTTCCTCAAAAATAAAAAACCTACAAATGGTACTACCTTTTGACCCAGTGATTCCAATGCTGGGATTATACCCTAAAATTTTTGAAACACCAATCCAAAAGAATCTATGCACCCCAATGTTCACAGCAGCACAATTTACAATAGCCAAGTGCTGGAAGCAACCTAGGTGCCCATCAGTAAATAAATGGGTCAAAAAACTATGGTACTTAAACACAATGGAATACTTACTACACAACAGAAAGAAAGAAGGAGCTTCTATCCTTCAAGACAGCATGGAAGGAACTGGAGAGCATTACACTAAGTGAAGCAAGTCAGGCATTGAAAGACAAATAGCATGTGATCTCACCTATAAGTGGATCCTAATCAACAAAAGAAAAAAGCAAGCAAAATATAACCAGAGACATTGAAATAAAGAACAAACTGATAGCAACCAGAGGGGAGGGGTAAGGGTGGTAACAGGGGAAAGAAGAGGCAGGAGCAAGTCAAGGAACATGAATAAAGGACTCATGGACAAAGCCAAAGGGATGTAGGATTGAGGGTGGGGTGGGGGAAATGGTGGCAGGAAAATGGAGACAATTGTACTTGAACAAGAATAAAAAAGTATTTAACAATACTTAGGAATGAAGGTGTTACAGGGTGCAGCCAAGAGGGGGGACCCCAAATGGGCATTTGAAATGGGGTCCAGAACTTAAGGTGTCCAGGAGATTTTAAGATGTCTCCATCCCCCACCCAGGGTGTGGGTTGGGGGAAGGGACAAATGGAGCAAGGCCATTGAGATCTGTTTTGCATAGCAACAGCCTTGCAGCTACCCTCTGGCGTGGTCATTTAACATATCTATAGCCTTTGGCTGGTCGCTTAGATATGTTAAATAACTGTGATCATCTCTGAGCCAGGGGAATGGAAGTAACTTCCCCACCAACACGTGACTGGGGGCAGATCCCCCCAAGCTACAGCGCCTGCGTGGGAGCTCGGAGAAGCTTGGCTCCAGGACATGGGGCCACACCTGCCAAGACTCATGATGGCAGCCCAGTAAACCTGGAAGGATACGAGTTCTGGAAAGTGAAGCTGAGTGTGGGACGAGTCAGAAATGAGGCTGCAGAGGAAGATTGGCCGCGGGGATTTAAAACCCAGACGTGGCGGCCATTGAGGAGAGAACTATGCGTCTTTAACAGAGTGGAGAACCATGTGCAGCCCTGAGAAGGAGAGCCATGTGCAGCACTGAGGAGGTGAACCATGTGCAGCCTTGAGAGGGAGAGAACCATGCGCAGCCCTGAGAGAGGGAGAACCATGCATCTTTAGCAGAGTGGAGACTCCCGCATCCCTGAGAAGAGAACCACGCGGCTTTGACGGAGTGGAGACTCCTGCATCCCAGAGAGAACCGTGCTGCTTTAGGAGGAGAGAACCACGCGGCTTTGGCAGAGTGGGGACCCCCACAGCTTTAGAAGGGGGAACCACCACCTGGCTTTAGCAGAGATCCTGGCAACTCAGCTGAGGGTGCCAGGAACCCAGGGAGGTCTCCCAGTCGAGATGGAGGACTAACTAAGAACCAGAGGGCTGCCTGAGCCATGGACTTCGTTTTCCTTTCCTGAGATATGGTACTCTGGACTGGGCAAAGGGGGAAGGAAGGAAGGACTGTGTCTGTTTGTGGGTGTTTTAAGGGACTTTGGGATTTTGATGAAGACACTAGGTCACTACTTGAAGTCTGTATAGCATTAAATAAACATTTCCTTTCCTTTTCACGAATCTCTGGCATTGAGAGACGTCTTTCCTCGGGCGGCGGACATGACGGACCCGGGGCCTTTTAAATAATAGTATATCGTTCCAGGCCCCCCTTGTTCTGTTCTGTAACAGTTTTTGGCGACCACGAAGGGACGATAACTGTCTGTGGCAGACCGACCCCCTCAGGTGTGAGAGAGTGAGACTTCCAAGTTTTCCCCGTCTAGAGAATTCCTCTGCACTCCTCCTGAGGGCATCGCCCACCTCTCATGCCTGGAAAGGTGAAAAGGAAACAAAACAGGGAGGGAGCAGAGATGTGAAGATGGTTTGGTTGAAAACTGGTTTCTAAACACCGTTTTGGAACAATGGAGCTGTGGATAATGGTTTGGTTAGTATGCTGCTCCCAGGTTGCCCCTGTCTGCTCATTTACAGTTTCGGTGAGCCCAGGTGGCAGTAAGGGAACCTGTATTCAGGTTTGGGGAGGAAGCAAACCCCTAGGCTCTGTAGGCCGAGCCTGCATGTATGGCGGGGATCGGACAGCAAACCATGTGGGTGTGTCGCCATTTTGGGTAAAATGGAGGATGAGCCACGTGAGTGCCCCACCTTGGAGGGTGGGTTGTGCATGGGCACCACCATCTTGGATGACCCGGCATGCATGGGCGCTGCCATCTTGGAACTGGACAAGGTGGTGGGCTAAGGGCTCTCTTCAGATTATGGGCTGTATGCTCCTACTGTGTTGGCATTGCTTCAGTCAGGTTCTCTGTGTAACTGGTTCTGATTGGAATGGCTCTGGTTCTGAAGGTCATGAACTGAGGTCCAAAGGTGACCATCTGATATATAGGGTGTTTGCAAGGTCTAAGCTTCAGAAAGCTGCAGGATGTCCCTGCAAATCTAGGGACTTTTAGTGGAAGGTACCTGCCTCGGCCCGCGAGGCAGTCAACGGGGTCCGCCGATATACCTGTAACGGATGAAAAGGGATGGGACAGGAGGCACGAAAGAACGACAGCAAGTCAAAGGATTCTGATCAAGCTGCAATTTTATTTCAAAATGGAGGGAGTTATATAGAGGAGGGTAGGGGAAGGCAGATAGGGGAAGTAGCTCTGGTTGGTAGCTTTGGGGCGTGCTCTTAGCTGGGATTGGGTAGGGGATGCATGATAGGTGCGTGATCAAGGCACTGATTGGCGTGCGGTCCGCGTGCTTAGGTGAAGCGGTTACATGACTCCTGACCGCAGATATCCTGTTATGCATGCGCAATTTCCATCTCTGGTTGCATCAGCCTACTTTAGGCTTATCCCTGCCCCCAACATCTCCTCCCTTATTTTTATTTTTAAGGTGAGGAGTGGACATTAACCGGCTAGGGGAGGCAGTGGTCTGGCTCCTCCTGAGCTCGTCCTGAGCTCTGAAGTACCTTTTGCGGAGGAGAGGGTTGGGGTACTGACCTCTATGCAAGCCGACTTGCCTCTCAGGAGACATGGCAGGGCCACCTTTGGGGCAGCTTCTCCTTGCGATGCTTTGCTCTGCACCTAGCGGTATCCATTACATTTTATATGTAAAGTATAATGCCAAGGGTTATACTGTTCTCATAAGAGGTGGGGAGGGGTGCAGGGTCTATGCGCGAGGACATTCTGGGAAAAAACGCTGCGAGTCAGTGCCAGGTTTGTTCATTTCTAGCTGATGATAATGTATCTGGATAGATTTGCCAAGGAGGGAGTTAAGTTGGTCTCGGATGAGGTTTGTGGTGCACCTGAGAACCCAGGGAGCAAAGGTCAGGAAGAGAATGATAGCTATTAAAGGCCCGAGGAGAGGGAGAAGAAAGGGGAGTAGTCTGTTGAAGGCTGTAAGAAAAGGGCTTTCAGTTAGGGCTTTTCGTCGTTTTTCCAGATCTTCTTGAAGGGTTTTGATCTTGCCCCGGACGACGCCTGACTTGTTGGCATAGAAGCAGCATCGTTCCTGTAAAGCTAAACAAATGCCTCCCTGCTCTGCTGTGAGTAAGTCTAGGCCCCGTCTATTCTGGAGGACTACCTCCGCTAGGGAGTCTAGTTGGTCTTGAATGTCAGTAATAGTACTGGATAAGGCTTGGACATCATCGACAAGTTGTTTGGAAAGTTTTGTATAGGAGTGAACTGCAACTCCTAATCCTGCAGTTCCGGTAGCTACCGCTCCAGAAACTCCTAGACCAACAAGCAGGGGAATAATAGCTAAGGCTCTTTTGTGTCGTCCTGCGAAGTGGTCAAAAGCAGGAACGGGGACGGGTTCATCCCCTGGGATAATGTCTATGTCAGGTAGTAAGGCAGCTAGGGCACATAGCCCTGTCCAATTGGCGGGCAGGGTGGTGAAAGCTAGATTATTACCACAAACGAATGCTCATCCTGGACCAGGGCAGAGGGATGTGCTGTAATTAAGCGTGTGGCTACAATTGGTAAAGCTAGCGAAACCAACAGAAATATCAAAAGAATTATTTTGTAATTTCTTATAGATGCAGGGGGAGGAGTAAAAAAGCATAGGCTGAACTCTAAAGGATATGCTGAGGGTGCAATTTTGTTCGGTGATATTTAGGGCTGATATGTTGGTGGGGACAGCTAGAGGCATGGGGGTGCCTTGGCTTAAGCATAACCAGCAATCTTGGGCTAGTGTAGGGTTGGAAATATTTAATGACCGATGGGTGGCCGTCAAGATGTCTGTCATTTGGGTATCTAGATCTATTCCTCGCGACTTGGGAAGAGCCAGAGGGTGATGGGTGAGTTTAGGGAATTGATTTTCAATGAGCTGTTCTATTTGGTTCTGAACGGTGAGTTCTCTTATGATATCTTGAGGCCCACCTCCATCAGAAGTGTGAATAGGAGGAGTTTGTTCCCAGCACACTGACTGTCCTACAGTGCCTTGGCAGCTGGCTTGTAAGTATTTGGTGGAACTAAGGCCAACGACTGATGAGCTATCTCCCCAGTCTCCTACGTTGGCAGCATTTTTTGTTTTCTGGAGTATGGCAGTAAAATATGCCTTATTGCCAAGGGTACACTCTTGAACATTATTGTAGCAAGAAGAGTGCATTGTTGAATAAAAGGAGGTGCATGGGCATGGTCCTGGCTTTCCATTAATGGCAGGTATGATAGGAGGCTTAGGTACACAGGACCATTTGGGTTTGGACATCCCCCCCCCCTGTTGCTGTGGGTGAATAAGCTAGGTAAGCTGTTTTTGTGTTGCAGTCTACTACCTGAGTATAAGACGAGGGGATGGCATGATCGGTAGTAGTTCCTCCACGGCATTCACACGGTGGCCCAAAGAGGACGTGGTAAATATTGCCAGGCGGCGCTTGAAGCCCTCCATATGTTCTTAAGTGTAAGAGTGCTTGTAGTAACAGGAAGAAGAGCCATTGGGAGAACATGTTTTGCCTGAAATAGAAAGAAGAGAAAATCTCCTCAGGGCGTATTATTATTCCCTGGGATTTGATTAGGTTCAACTGGTGGGGCGGGGCGATAATTGACATGTTTTATTAGCCTTTCGGGGAGCCATCGTGGGCCATCTTCTTTTTGATCATAAATACAGGCTGAGCCTCTCCCCCATATAAGGACGGGGTCTGGGCCTTTCCAGGCGTGAGTGAGGGGGTCGCGCCACATGACCGTGGCTTGTTGTGATGCGGTTTGTGGGTGCCAGTGGCGATCGGCTGCCGAACGACCCTGTATGTCCAGTGTAAGAAAATTAAGCTGGAAGAGGGCATGATTTAGAAGATTTCGAGGTTGTTGTTTTGAAAATCCAAGAGGAGAGTGTGTTAGGCAATTAATGGCATTCTTTAAGGTTTGGTGGGCCCGCTCTACTATACCTTGTCCTTGAGGATTGTAAGGGATTCCAGTAATATGCTTAATTTGAAGTTGTTGGCAAAAGGCTTGGAAATTTTTTCCTGTATAGCCAGGGCCATTATCTGTTTTAATGGTGTGGGGCTTGCCCAAGGCGGAAAAGCAGTGGATCATATGAGAGATTACATTTTTTGACGCTTCTCCTGTTTGGGGTGTGGCAGCTATAAATCCACTAAAAGTATCAACTGTAACATGAATAAATTTTTGCTTCCCAAAGGCGGCAAAGTGGGTAATATCCATTTGCCATATAGCATTGGGTATAAGGCCACGGGGATTAATGCCTAAATGAGGCACAGGGGCTGAGGTTATACAATGAGGACAAGCTTTAACGATGTCCCTAGCTTGGTCTCTAGTGATTTTATAAAGAAGGCGAAGGGTATGGGCATTTAAATGGCGCAAGGTATGGGCTCGTGTGGCCTCAGTAACTGGGTCTGTAAGAATAGGGCAGATGGTCTGTGTGGCAACGTCAGCTAGGGCGTTGCCTTCTGTTAGGGGCCCAGGAAGGTCAAGGTGAGCACGAAGATGTCCAATATAGAAAGGGTGTTGTCTTTGTAAGATAAGGTTTTGTAGTTTGGTGAATAAAGGGGTGGCATTAGTGGAGGGTTTGATGAAGGGAACTGTTTCTAGTAGAGGGACTGACTGAGCTATATAGGCGCTATCAGTATAGAGGTTGAACGGTTGGTTGGCAAGTGAAGTAAAAACTTCAAGTATGGCAAACAATTCTACGAGCTGAGCAGAGGAGTAAGGAGATTTAATTGTAAAAGTTTGTTTATTAATGATATAGGCAGCTGTGCCGTTTGAAGATCCGTCGGTAAAGACGAGGGTGGCTTTAGGAATTGGAGCTGCTTTGGTGAGTTTAGAAAAGATGAACTGATGAGTTTTAGCAAATTGAACGAGGGGATCACTAGGGTAGTGATTATCAAGATTCCCTGTAAAGGAGGATAATGCTATAGCCCACTCATCAGAAGTTTGTAGAAGCCAGTTTGTTTGGTCATGTGAGTAGGGAATAATTATTGAATCAGGGTCTTTACCAAATAGTTGGCGGCTGGTGGATCGCCCCTTAATAATTAGAGTGGCAAGAAGGGAGGGATAAGTAAGTAATACTCGTGAGGGAGAGGCTGGTAGGTGGACCCAAAGAAGGGAATGGCCATTTTTTTGTAAGGTCTGTGGTTTTTGACTGCCAGAAAACTCCAGTAGGTGTATGGGCTGTAGGGAGTAATATGAATACTAGAGGTAGGTTATAGGAAATCTGTTGAGCGCTTTGCCGTTGTATGGCTTTGTTGATAATGGTTAAGGAATGTTCTGCTTCGGGGGTTAAGGCACGCGGAGATAAGGGATCTGAGTCTCCTTTCAGAATGTTATTGAGTGGGAGGAGCGCTTCTGTGGGCAGCTTTAAGTATGGCCGGAGCCACTGAATGTCTCCAAGGAGCTTTTGAAAATCATTGAGTGTTTTTAAATTATCAATTCTGAGGGATATGCGGGGGGTAAATACTTGTTGGTGACATAGTTCAAACCCTAGATAAGAATACGGATCAGATGTTTGCACTTTATCAGGGGCGATCTGTAGTCCCCGGTTAGCAAGGCATGTGATCATATGGGCGTGACAGGCCCTAGCGGTATCACCGTCAGGGCAGGCTAGAAGGATATCGTCCATATAATGGAGGATATAAGCCTGGGGCCATTGCTTTCTGACTGGGGCGATGGCAGCTGCAACGAACTTTTGACACAAGGTGGGGCTGTTGGCCATGCCCTGTGGTAGTACCTTCCAATGGTAATGAGGCATAGGGCTTTGAAAATTGGTTTGAGGGACACTGAAGGCGAAGTAGGGTCTGTCTTCAGGGTGGAGGGGAATGGTAAAAAAGCAGTCTTTTAAATCTATGACAATTTTGTAATAATTGGCAGGAATGGCAACAGGTGACGGGAGACCAGGCTGTAGGGCTCCCATGGAGACCATAATTTTATTGACGGCTCTAAGATCTTGTAGAAGACGCCATTTTCCAGATTTCTTTTTGATGATAAAAATAGGGGTATTCCAAGGGGAATTAGAAGGCTCAATGTGCCCTGCCGCAAGTTGTTCCTGCACTAACATAATAGCAGCGAGGGTTTTTTCCTGAGTAAGGGGCCATTGATCAACCCACACAGGTTCAGTGGATTTCCATAATATTTTATCTGCATGGGGTGCAGGACTGTCAATGGCTGCTAGGGTAAATTTTGGGTATATCCCAGACCTGTCTTATTAAACTTTGGATTAATGGAAATGGGTTGAGTGATGCCTTGATGGTTTTTTCCTAGCCCTTGGCCGGGTACGAATCCTTGGTTTAGCATTTGAGTTATAGCAACGTTACTGGGGCTATATAAGACTACTTTCATTTGGGCGAGAATATCTCTCCCCCATAGATTAACAGGCAAGTTAGGTAGTACATATGGGGTCACGAAGCCCTGGTTTCCTTCATTGTCTTCCCATTTAAGGGTTTTAGAGCTTTGTTGTGGATTGGTAGACTGTCCTATGCCACGCAAATGTGTGGCAGCTATGGTTAGGGGCCAATTTCGAGGCCATTGAGACTCAGAAATAACAGTGGCATCGGCTCCTGTGTCAATAATACCTGAAAAGGCTTTACCATTAATTCTGAGTTCGAGTAAGGGACGGCCCTCGGTAACCTGTTGCACCCAATATGCATCTGAAGAGCCGGGGGGCTTGACCCTCGAAAAGGTTTTTGAAAATTGGAATTAAGATGTTGAAGGGGGAGGATGATTATTTGGGCTAACCTAGTTTCTTTGGGGATGGTAATTAAATCTGAAGTGGTGGAAAGGATAATTTGGATTTGTCCTTCAAAATCATTATCTATAATGCCAGGGAGGACTTGTATCCCTTGTAGGGTGGAACTGACTCGGCCGAAGATAAGCCCAAAAGTATTAGGCGGTAGGGGCCCGAAAACGCCGGTAGGGACTATTAGGGGGCTATTGTCTGAAGTTAGTACTGTGTCGGTGGCGGCACAGAGGTCCAATCCTGCGCTGCCTGCTGTGGCCCTCCACAGGTCTGTGACGTAGCGGCGTGATTGATTACCGGGAGGGCAGGGATCTGTGGGTGGAGTGATCGGGGAGTGAACTGTGTAGCCCCGGAGTTCACACCCGGTATGGGGCCCTGGGGCTGGGCCCTGTTGGAGTTTCCCTGTGGTGAGGGAATAGGCTGTCCATAAATGTCTGTCTTAGATCTACATTCTGAGGACCAGTGAAAACCCTTCTTACAGCGAGGGCATTTCGTGGCAGGGGCTCTTGGACTATTAGTAGTAGGCCCTGTTGGGTTTTGGATCTGAATTTGAGTCTGATCTTGGCTCTTCTGGGGGCAGGCTCGGGAAAAATGTCCAGGTTGGTTACAGTTGTAACAAAGGCGATTAGGGAGGGCGCCCGGCTGTGGGGGGCATAAAATTTTGTAAGGCGGCACCAATGGCAAGTCCGAAAGCATGGGCAGAGCCGATGCCGGAGCGGAGGCGAACATAGTCACAGAGCTCTCCTTGGCGATAGGGGCGGATGGCATTTTGGCAAGCGGGGTTGGCATTTTCATAAGCTAGGTGTTTGACGAAAGCGTTTTCACTTTCACCCGCGCCAAAAAGCCTCTCAGCTAATTCTTGTAAACGACTTATGAAATCACTGTATGGCTCGTCTGGGCCCTGTCTTATTTTTGCAAGAGAGGTGGTTGCGGTGCCCTTTTGTGGAAGGCGCCTCCATGCTTTAAGACCCGCGGACTGGATCTGGGTTAGAAGTCCGGGGGGAAATTGAGCTTGCTTTTCATTGCTATGATAGGGGGCGGAGCCAAGAAACTTGAGAATGGTCCAATTTTTAGAGGAGGATTTTCGCATATTGCGCTGAACAAACTGTTTAGCGGTGTCTTCATATTCGCTTTTCCAAAGAATAAAGTCACCTCCACTTAGCGCTGCCTTCGCTAGAAAGAACCAATCATTGGGCATGAGCCAGCGCTCACTAAGATTTTCGATTAGGGCGAGGGAAAAGGGAGCTGTGGGCCCGTAATGTGTTACAGCAGATTTGGCTTTTTCTAATGTTTTAAGGCTAAGTTTTTTGTATGTGTGGGAATAAGTTTGGGGGGCCGCAGTATCTCTTGTACTGGGCTCTGCTTCATCTATATCAGAAGGGGAGCTGTCAGAATCCTCGGGGTTGTCGCTATCAGGAAGGGGGGTAGCT